TAGGGTTTAAGGGTTTATAGGGTTCAGGCCCTCCCTGGGGTTGTGGCTACCGGCTTTCAGAGCCCATCGTTGCGCGCAGGGTTTAGGGTTTAGGGTTTAGGGTTTAGAGTTTAGGGTTTAGGGTTTAGGGTTTAGGGTTTAGGGTTTAGGGTCTAAACTCTAAATCCGCTGCTGTGGGGCTGAGGGCATAAGGCTTTCTTTGCGTCATGGCTTATGTATGATATCAAAGCACAGCAATGACCCCCTAAACCCTAAACCCTAACACTTTATACGCTTGTCGATTTGGGAGTTTCCGAAAATAGGGGACCCTAATATAGTACAGACCCTCAGCCCGTTGATGGTAAACCCTGAACCCTAAACCCCTAAACCCTCAACCCCCCAAACCCTCAACCGCCAAACCCTGAACCCAAGGCTGGCAGCTACAGCTGTAGACAGCTTCTGCAGGGCCAGGCCAGCAGACCGACGCCTGAACCCTAAACCCTAAACCTACTTGGAGGTTCAGGGGTTTAGGGTTTAGGGTTTAGGGTTTACTTGGAGGCCCAGGGGACGTAGTAAGTCGGTTATAAGTAGGGTTATACTTGGGGTAACTCCATTTAGGGCACTTATAACTCTACTTCTAACCTACTTACCAAGTCCCCTGGGCCTCTCTAAGTACGGTGATGATAATATAAATGCAGCATTACGCATAATACGGATATTATCATAATTCCATAGTTTCGGGTCCATATTAAGGTAATGCAGGATTGAAATCATCAACCGTAGGTTTAGAGTGAACCCCAGAAAGTTGGAACATGGGTTTAGGAGGATTGGTGCTAGAATCCCCGATAATCCATAGTAGGGGCATGAGGATATTGATGCTCCAACTGTCTGGCCTCTACTATAAGGGCGTAGGGGTTAGGGGTTTAGGGTTTAGGGTTTGGGGCTTTAGGGCTAATGGCCCAACAACTTTACAAGGCCAGTATTACTTCTGAAGTCCAGTTAGAAATCTTTGAACAGGGCTTTTGGGTTCGTGTATAAGTTAGAAAAGAGGAACTCAAGGAACACTATTTGCAACTTTTGCGGCCTCCATGCAAGTTTGGATTCGTGAAGGTTTTCTAGTATCGGGGCTTTCAGATTCTGCAGGTTTGCAATCGGGAGGGAGGGGGCGTAGTAAGTTCAATATGTGAAGCATTGCATGGTGTTCAGGGCTTGGTGCTCCTGCGGTGACGTCCCAATCGACGTCTTTGCGCACCCCTAAACCCTAAACCCCAAACCCGGACTCAAAAATCTGAGATCGCCGCCAGCGGCCACAAGTAGACAGGAGGCCTGAAGATCCAATCGGGGTTTAGGGGTATAGCGGTTTAGGGTTTAGGGGTTTCGGGGTTAGGGTTTAGGCTTAAGCGTCTAAGGGTTCAGGGTGCAGGGTCCCTAATGTAAGGGCCATAATATGTAGACTAGGGCCTTGGGATATATTATACTGCTATACTACAGTTACAATAAGAAACACCTCAAAATTGTGTAGGCGATTATTTAGGCTACTAGTTTGAACCCTAAGCGGAACTGGCTGTGCTGGAAACACCCAAAGCCATGTAACTCCAGGCTAGCTGGTAACATCCCGCAAGAACACTAAACCAAAGGGTCCAAAGTACCTATATTGTAGAATGTAGGTTCCTATGTTAGGATTTACTAGTATGACTTGGGGAAGTATCCCCTATAACTCAAAGAACCTCATCCTCCGACTTTTCAAGGATTGACAGTGAAGCGTGCACACCGCGGTAAACCAACCCCTGAAACGAGAGAACGGGCCACCCCTCCTAAGCCGTAATGTAAGGCCCCAAAACCCTATTCTAATTATTAGACCCCTATATTAAACACTAAACCCTCACAAGCAATACACCCGAGCAAACAATCGAACCCCAACCCCCGAACCTTGAGCATTATCCTTAAGTTTTTTGCAGCCCTGAACCCTAAAACATACCAACATCCTAAACCCCATACCATGAATCCTAAACCCCATACCATAAATCCTAAAACCCGAGCCCTAAACCCTCCAAGACAGCTTTCGCCGAGTCAGCAACAGGTGCCTCTTTGTGGCGATCGCCCATCTGTTGGTACACTGCTTTCTGCTCGTTGGCTGCCTGCTCAAACACCGTCCCGAAACTCTAATGTAGGGGCCTTCATAATTATAGTAAGGTTTTGGGGCTAACAATAGAGATGGTATACATATGCTAAGGGTCCAAGTACTCCCTATTATGGGACTTTGGGTCCACTTCATAAATAAGGACTATGTGGACCCTTAGGGATAGCTGCAATGGAAAAAGCCTTAAGGAACGATCATTGGTACCCATAGGCCCTAAAGTAGTTCCTTTTGGGGGTTCATATACAGAATCCTATAAGGTAACCCCCCAAAAAAGAACTACTATGGGGC